CACCGTAAGACCCGTTAGAATTAGGAGACACACCCCACGTAGTAACTCTCGTATAACCACACACACTCAAACCGACCCACCTCCGGTATCACCATCGATTCCTCAGGAATCTCCTCAGCAATCTCCTGAACCCTTTCTTGACCTTTCACCACTTCCTACCCCCAGGTCCATTTCTCCGATCCTAGAAGAGCTCCTGGACTACAGACCCCCTTTGCCTGTCCGTTTCCACCCTCCTCCAGTAGAGGCTCAACTGGAGGAACTCCCACATAACGATCCGGAGTTTGACAACATATCCGTCAACTCCGAAGCCACCACCATTGAATACGTCGAGCCTCCTCCGCATCTTCCTCACCCTGTATTCACAGGGTTCGACTTCTTAAATCTAGTCTTCTCCCCTGAGGAATAATCCACACACACGCACGCACGCACGCACGCACGCACTTGTAAAGAATACACAAATAGAATTATTAACACCTGGAATTAAGAATTAAGTTTTGTATCGTAATTATAAATTTAATCGAATTAAAATGTCTTTAGTAAATTAAACTTTTGTTCTTTTTCATTTAACCACACCCTCCTCGTTCGTCACCCCCTCACACCTCCCCTCTCAAATTGCGCACAAAGGTTTCGTCTTGGGTAATAGGGATTCAATTCCTTGACCCAAAAAGGGAACCACGAGCGGATGACTTGTTGACGGTGTAAAAACGACTCTTCCAGTCGCTGACCCGTCGCAAGTCCTAAACGTGCCGCTCGGCTCGTGCGGTCAAGCCCGTTTACGTCGATCGCCGAGCCCAACAAAAAAAAATTCTACATCTATCAGGACGTAACACCTTAATAATATAACAAATTCGTTATGTGCACCTATATGTATTAAAATGCTTATTTAGTCAATGATCAACTTGTTCTATAAAATATGTGATTATTCAATAATTATTTTATATTATAACGATTTTGTATTATAAGTTTTTATATTTGGTTTTGTCACTATTACAAAATGCGTATGAATAATAGCAATTTATTGAAAAAAATAAAAATGACTTTCGGGATTGCGGTGCAATCCGTGACAATTGTCATTTATTGTTCTATGCGAAATATCGTGCTGGTGCTTACTTGCCAATTGTGTGCTACACATTGGAACGCATCGGAGCTAACAAGGAGCTTGAAACTAGCTCCTCTTTTAATCTATAAATAATTTTAGTGATTTTTTTAACATGAAAATATGTAGAATTCAGAAAGAATTAAGATCGTTAGATTTCAATTTGATAGTTGGATCAGCTTGTTTCGGGCTTGTTGTTTATTGACTAGATACATGGAGAGAAATAGAGAGAGGGCAGTCAGGACGCTGAGCGAGGCAGTCTTAAAAGAAGCGCCGAGTGAGAACGACGAAACATTCTGTGACTAATTGTACCTTTTTATTTTAAATTTTAATATACTGAATTTATCAAAATCAAAAGACGTGAGCTTATCCTTTATAAACCCACAAATTTTGGGGGCTCGTCCGGGATATGCCAAAACGAGTTAAACGTTGTTGAAAAGTACTTGAGAAGAAGGTATTAAGAAGTGCCTAAACGAGGTTCGAAAAGACGAGAAAAACGACGAGTGAAAGAAGAACGACAGCGCTCGAGTATTCAAGAGCCATAAGGAAGAACGAAGACGGACGAACGACGTGTGAGCAAGAGCATTTAAGAACTGTAGCAGGAAGACAAAGTGGTGGACAAAATAATGGAAAAATTAGGACAAATACCCGTCATAAAACAAAAAATTGACGTAGCTTCTAGAGCGGTGATTGTGGCTATGCACAAACTTGTTTTTGAGGAAGACGGCGACAGGAACAATCGACGGCAACTGCGCGAGTTTCAAGGGTTCAAATTTAACGACGACTCGCCCGATTTTAGGGCCAAGCTTCAATATGCCGTAATGTTTCCCATTAGTGATTTAATATCAATTTGTAATATTCTCGGTATTACATACACAGGAAACGCTGAACAATTAAGAGAACGAATAGTGAGAGCTTTGATGGACGTAGAGGCTCTACGATCGATGCGTGACGAGGACGAGTACGATGATGACGAAAGAGATAACAAAAATGATGACGAAAGCGATGACGAGAATGCCGATGGTGACGAAGGGAATGAAAACATGAACCACTCAGAACCACAGGAGCGTAACAATCGACCGAAAGGAGGTAGGAAGCAAAGAGATACAAATAAAAACGCTAATCAATTCGTTTTAAATTATAGAGATATTGAAGATTCAGTTCGCGCATTCAATGGAACTGATTCATATCCAATTGAGCGATGGATTAACGATTTTGAAGAAGCCGCTGCTATGTTCGGCTGGAATAATTTACAAAAAGTAGTCCTTGCAAAAAAATCTCTGAAAGGCGTGGCAAATTATTTATACAAAGTGAATGAATTATCGGAACGTGGAAGAAGTTAAAAGACGTTTTGACGGAAGAATTCTCCAAAAAAATCACCAGTGCACAGTTGCACAGAATGTTAGAAAGACATAAGATGAAGAAAGAAGAGACTGTGCAAGAGTATTTTTTAGCAATGAGAGAGTTGGCGTCAAGGGACGCCGTGAAATCGGACGCGCTGTTCGATTATGTAATTAGTGTATCAACGATGAATCCAGTAGTAAAATGATTCTTTACGGAGCAAAAACAGTTTGTGAGTTTAAGGATAAGCTTGAGATCTATGAAAAAATGACAAAAACTCACTCGGAAAAAACGACAAAGCAAATGAGGAATCGAGAGGAACTGACGAGGAGCGCGGGAAGGAGATCCTCGTGTGGAGACACGAGAACGAGGACGACGAATAATCAGGAAGGCGGGGCGCAGATGCGTTGTTTTAATTGTGGCACGATCGGACATCACGCTAGGGATTGCGATAAAAAAGCATTAGGAAAAAAATGTTTTAATTGTAATAAGTATGGACACGAAGCGAGAAATTGCAATGAGAAAAGAGTAAACTCTGACGCGAGTAGAAAACGGGTGAATCTCGTGAGCGCATCACTGACTAGCGTGGTAAAGAATATTATTATTAATAATAAAAATTTGCAAGCGTTTATAGACACCGGTAGTCCAGCTAGTTTAATTCGAAAAGACGCATTCAAAAAGTTAAATAAATATGAGTTGGTACAGTCGACACGTGTTTTTTCCGGTTTCGGAGGCGGTAAATCAAAGGCTTTAGGCTATTTTCAAACTATTGTTTATACAAATGATGATGATTTTCCTTTCCGTTGTATGTCGTACCGTGCGAAACGGTAAACGTAGAAGTAGTTATCGGCAGAGATATTTTAAAGCAAGCTAATTTAAGTTTTAATGAACATGGCGTGACAATTTATAAAAAATTAACGACAGACTTTCTTGCGCATATTACTGTCGAAAAAGAACAGCAAATAGATATTGAAACTACGTCGGACGCAACAATAAAGAATAAAGTAGAAGAATTGATAGCTGCGTATAAGTCTAAAAAATGTAAAACGACAGGAGTTAAACTAAAAATAACACTTAAAGACAAAAAATTGATTTTCCAGAGACCGCGTAGATTAGCAATGCCAGAAAAGAAGATAGTTGAAAAGCAAGTAAGAGAATGGATACGAAAAGGCATAATAGAACCATGTTCTTCGGAATACGCAAGCCCAGTAGTAATAGTTAAAAAGAAAGATAGATTTCCTAGAGTATGCATTGATTATCGACCACTTAATCGCATTATAGATCGTGATAGGCATCCCTTGCCATTAATTGAAGATCAAATAAACAAATTAAAAGACGCACGAGTATTTAGCACACTCGATCTTAAGAATGGGTTCTTTCATGTAGAGGTAGATGAAGAAAGTCGTAAATATACTGCGTTTATCACACACAAAGGCCAGTATCAATCTTTAAAAGCGCCGTTTGGCTTGTCTAATTCTCCACCAGTATTCCAGAGATTTATAAGTCAAGTTTTTCGACCGCTAGTGAATGACGGAATAATGACGCTATACTTGCACGATGTAATAATTTTGGCGATTGATTGTAATCAAGCAATAGAAAGATTAGAAGTTGTATTAAGAGTAGCGAGCCAATATGGCTTAGAATTGAACATAAAAAAATGTAAATTTATGAAGACGCGTATAGAATATTTAGGACAGATAATAGAAAATGGGACGGTATCACCATCCCCCAGAGAAAATAAGAGCTGTAATACGATTTCCAGAACCGACAACAGCTAAGCAGGTCCAAAGCTTTTTGGGCCTCACAGGATTTTTTCGCAAATTTATAGGTGGATATTCGATGACGGCGAAACCTTTAAGTGCTTGTTGCATAAAGATAGGGTATTCCGATTTGAGGAGGCAGAAAGAGAAGCTTTTAATAGATTAAAACAAATATTGAGCGAGGAGCCTGTGTTGTGTATCTTTGATCCGACACTAAAGACAGAACTACATACCGACGCTAGTCAGGACGGAATAGGCGCGATATTGTTGCAACGATCGCAAATAGACGATAAGTTACATCAGGCAATATATGAGTCGCAAATCGCGGCCAGTCAAAAAAAATTATTGAAGTTACGCATTAGAAGTGATAGCTATAATAGAGGCACTTGAGAAATTCCGTGTATATCTACTTGGAATAAAATTTAAGATAACGGATTGTGTGGCGTTCACGCAAACGATGCGTAAAAAGGAAGTTTCTCCGAAGATCTGGCGGTGGGCCAAAAAATTAGAAGAGTTTGAGTATATACTGGAACACAGATCAGGTACCCGAATGAAACATGTCGATGCATTAAGTAGGAACGCAGTTATGACGGTGGTAGAAAACGGTATAGTGGCAAGAGTAAAAGCGGCTCAAGCAGATGATTCCGAAATAAAAACGTTAATAGAGACAATGGAATTAAAGCTTGATGATGATTATACGTTGGTCGGAGGTGTGCTCTATAAATTTGTCGATGGCAGAGATTTTCTGATAGTTTCGGAGCGTATGTAGAACGAGATCATACAAGTGATTCACCATAAAGGTCATTTGGCAGCAAAAAGAACAGAAGATGCAATACGAAAAGAATCAAGAGACACGGTAGTGTCTCGCGCCAAGTTCACGCGCAGCGCGCAACGCAAGCGCAAGACCGACCGTGTCTTTTTACGCGAGCCCGAAAGTTGAGACAAGCCGAGATTATCGGATCTCAATAACGGCTGGGCCGATTGAGTTGATAATAGGCTCAATCGATAGCGCATACCCAAATTACATAAGAAAAGTATGCTTGTTTTACTGTAGGTGCTGTAGAAAAAAAGTTATAATAATCCAAAGTCGAAATGTTGAAATAATTGTCGTTTTCCTAGGATGTCCAGCTAAAATGTCCAGTTTCCGATTTCTGACGTTAGATGCGCTGATGGCGCTGAGAAGCCGCACGGCGCGCGCTTACGATTTGACATTTTTACATAACCTTTCAGATCAGAAGGTGTTATATAAAAAGTAATAATAATGAATTCGGTCTAACAAATTTGGTCACTCGCACTACATTGCTTTGTTACCTTGGTGCACACTCAAGACTGCTTATTAATCCAGAGCAGTGTGGTGCAAGTGACCAAATTTGTTAGAAATTCGTATTAAATGAAATAAGTGATATGTTGGTGAATGTGAATGTCTTAGTAAGTATCTACTACACCTTTGAAAATTTTTTATTTTGCAAGTTATTATTTATACATGATTCGAGACTTTAGTGGATGATTTGTCTAAAATAAATAAAATTGAATAGCTCAAAGTTTAATATTTCTGTTCTGAATATCCTAGATTAGTTTCAACAATATTTATAATTCTCAGTCAATTTTATATTTAAAAAAATATAGCATAAGTCGCTTTCTGTAATCAACGCTATGGTTGACAACAAAATTATCCACATCACAATGTGGGCAGAGAATTAAGTGTAAGAAAATGTTTATATCATATTTTAGGTATATTACTAAATTTTATTTATCCATAAAAAAAAAGATTATAAACACAAACTAAACAAAAAATCTTGTAAAATCTTGTAAAAACACAAAATGAAATTGACTGGAAATGATAAATATTGTTAGAACTAATTTAGTATACATAGAACAGAAATATTAAACCTTGATATTTAATTTTATTTATTTTAGACAAATCATACACTAAAGTCTCGAATCATGTGCTTTTTTGACAGAATGTATGGTAAAATTAAAATTTATACAATCATACCAATTATTACTATGCCTTATGTGACAATTGTTTAGAGACTTTAGTGTATGATTTGTTTAAAATAAATAAAATTAATGAGCTTAAAGTTTAATATTTCTGTTTTATGTATACTAAATTAGTTCTAACAATATTTATCATTTCCAATCAATTTTATTTTGTGTATTACAAGATTTCTTGTCGAGTTTGTGTTTATTTTTCTATGGATAAATAAAATTTAATAATATATCTAAAATATGATCTAAACATTCTCTTACACTTAATTCTCTACCCACACTATGAAGTGAATAATTGTTGTCAACCATAGTGTTAACTACAGAAGGCGACTTATGCTATATTTTTATAAATATAAGATTGACTGGAAATTATAAATATTGTTGAAACTAATTTAGGATACTTAGAACAGAAATATTAAACTTTGAGCTAT